CAGATGTTGCAGGTGTATGGTGTAGGAGGTAGGTTACTGAAAGCAGTGAAGAGTTTTTACGAGGATAGTGAGGCTCAAGTTAGAGTATGTAGGAAAAGGGAAATTATTTCCCAGTAAAAGTAGGCCTTAGACAAGGATGTGTGATGTCACCGTGGTTGTTTAATATATTTATAGATGGGGTTGTAAGAGAAGTAAATGCGAGGGTCTTGGCAAGAGGCGTGGAGTTAAAAGATAAAGAATCACACATAAAGTGGGAGTTGTCACAGTTGCTCTTTGCTGATGACACTGTGCTCTTGGGAGATTCTGAAGAGAAGTTGCAGAGATTGGTGGATGAATTTGGTAGGGTGTGCAAAAGAAGAAAATTGAAAGTGAATACAGGAAAGAGTAAGGTTATGAGGATAACAAAAAGATTAGGTGATGAAAGATTGGATATCAGATTGGAGGGAGAGAGTATGGAGGAGGTGAATGTATTCAGATATTTGGGAGTGGACATGTCAGCGGATGGGTCTATGAAAGATGAGGTCAATCATAGAATTGATGAGGGGAAAAGGGTGAGTGGTGCACTTAGGAGTCTGTGGAGACAAAGAACTTTGTCCTTGGAGGCAAAGAGGGGAATGTATGAGAGTATAGTTTTACCAATGCTCTTATATGGGTGTGAAGCATGGGTGATGAATGTTGCAGCGAGGAGAAGGCTGGAGGCAGTGGAGATGTCATGTCTGAGAGCAATGTGTGGTGTGAATATAATGCAGAGAATTCGTAGTTTGGAAGTTAGGAGGAGGTGCGGGATTACCAAAACTGTTGTCCAGAGGGCTGAGGAAGGGTTGTTGAGGTGGTTCGGACATGTGGAGAGAATGGAGCGAAACAGAATAACTTCAAGAGTGTATCAGTCTGTAGTGGAAGGAAGGCGGGGTAGGGGTCGGCCTAGGAAAGGTTGGAGGGAGGGGGTAAAGGAGGTTTTGTGTGCGAGGGGCTTGGACTTCCAGCAGGCATGCGTGAGCGTGTTTGATAGGAGTGAATGGAGACAAATGGTTTTTAATACTTGACGTGCTGTTGGAGTGTGAGCAAAGTAACATTTATGAAGGGGTTCAGGGAAACCGGCAGGCCGGACTTGAGTCCTGGAGATGGGAAGTACAGTGCCTGCACTCTGAAGGAGGGGTGTTAATGTTGCAGTTTAAAAACTGTAGTGTAAAGCACCCTTCTGGCAAGACAGTGATGGAGTGAATGATGGTGAAAGTTTTTCTTTTTCGGGCCACCCTGCCTTGGTGGGAATCGGCCAGTGTGATAATAAAAATAAAAAAAAAAAAAAAACATTTATACAAGTGTAAATGTATACATACACATACATATACGTACATGTACATCTTATAGAAGTAAGTTAGGTTTAAGCTTGCCCATAATGCTCTGCATAACTAAGGGGCTTTTTATGTGACTAATGTGATGCTCTCCAACTTTGTACAAACAATGTATTGTGGAAATAAATATTGTGGAAATAAAAATTGATTGATTGATGAATAGTATGCAGGGAATTTTGAGTGTGGATATTATCAGATGGTGTGGGGTTACCAAATGTATAGTACAAAGGGCTGAAGAAAGGTTGTTGAGTTGGTTTGGGCATTTAGAGAGGATGGAGCACAGTAAAAAACTAAGAGGGTATATAAATCTGAGGTGGAAGGTTAGATGGGTAGAGGGTCATTCCAGGAGGGGTTGGAGGGTAGGCACTTGAACTTTCAGCAGGCTTGTGGAGCATGTTAGATTGGAGTGAGTAGATACAAATGGGTTTTATGATTTGATGTACTATTGGAGCATGAGCAAAGTAAGAATTATTATGGTATAGGCAGGCCCTGGTCAAGACCCTGTACAGTAAGCAAAAATCGCTGGTGGGTGGAAGAGAACAGTTTTTTCAGTATTGAATGTGTGTAAAATGCCTGTTAATGTGTTTCCACTATCGTATATTAAGTGCTCAATGCAGATAGGCATAAAAAAAGATAAAAAAAAAAAGGAAAATAAATACACAGTACATACAGTACTTACCTTAAAATATGGCTACCCTTTTTTTACGCAACTGTCATATGAAAATGGCGGAAAAGTGCTAAAAGCACCGAACATAATGAACAATGGCTCAATTGAAAACTAGTGAAAATGTGGAACACCAAAAAGAGGGTGCTGTATATGCAGGGCCCCTCCTTTATTCAGGAAAAATGGTTAGCCGGAATCGAGTCCTGGAGGTGGGAAGTATACCCGTACTCGTAAGGAGGGATGGAGATGTTGCAGTTGGAGGGTCATCTGAACTGTGATGTGAGCACACTTCTGGCAAGACAGAAATTGGGTCATTCCAACTTGGTGGGAGATGGCTGATATGTTAAGAAATTAATAAATGCAGTAAAACAAAGAATTTAAAAATTATTTGGATATTCACATGGTGCAGAGTATGATAGTGTTGTGGAGTGCCACCAACATACATTGCTGAACATTAATTAAAGAGGTGAGGAAATGAAGAATAGTGTTTTACACATGCCAGTATACAACAGGTGTTCAAAGTATGTAAAGTTGATTAAAAAGCTTAAGCATTATAATCTGTTTGGCAACAGGTCTCCATCTTTTCTTCTATTCATCCCTTCCTTCCTCTGCTTCTTCATCTTTTCCTCTCTGTTCCTACATGCCACAGGTGTTTAATGTAGATAAAACTGGTTGTGTTTGAAAGAGAAAACTGTGTTGGAAGGTATAAGGTTGTTATTGGCAGGGTGTGTTGCTTACTGCTACAGGCATAAAACATTCAGCATTATAAAGCATGTAGGAGAATGAACCTCTTTATTAAATGTTGTTTTGCCCTAAGTAGGACTATCTCTACTCTGTTTTTCAATCCTAGTTTGTCAGTTGCTCTCCATTCATTACATAAAAGCTTGTTGTCTGCTCCCTGCAAGGAAATGCAGCATTCTTGCTTTGTTTTTGCTAACAGTGATTAAAGAAAGTGGCTGTATACCACATGTATTCAACTGTTGACACCGTTGTTTTGTAGTGCGAGAGGGAACAACACAAAATATATATGTGAAGGAAAGTGGTTGGTCTGTGACCCCATAAATTCTACTTGCCCATTTTTTTCTGAAATGCTATTCTCAATACAGAAACCTTCCTTTGATACAACATGGTTGTATAATATGTAATGTAATGTATTAATTTTATGCATTGTATTTGGGGATCTAACAGATAGCACTCTCACACAAGCAGTGAGAGTTATTGAACAGGGATGTACTGTAATTAATTACTGATAGCTACAGGAGCATGATGTCCTGTCTTCATTGTTTATCATGTAATTTTTGTTAAATTTTCCACCACTCTTTGAAAACTTTCTGGTAGCTTTTTGGCACTTTTTTTTTCACTTCAGCTTACAGTTGTGGCCCTTTGTTTACCTGTTTACCCTGTTAATTATGTTAAGAAATCTTTGTTTTTATTTTGTAACCTTTTTTTACTCTTATTTATGATTATCTTCTCTTTTCCTCCTATCTGCTATTGAGGATGTTTTTAATGTTTGTCTTTTTATGTAACTTCTTTTATATACATGCATGTATATATGTGGAGACCATTTTGTAGCTTATCTGGACATTTTCTGTCTAATCTAAATAATAATAATAATAATAATGTGGTCAATGTGTTAACAAAAAGTAATAAGTTTATAATGTAAGAAGGCCATCATATGCACAGCATTTGGGGCAGACTTAAGCTATTATTACAGCTACTTAATACATAGTTATGTAGCCATTAAAGTTTATGATTTTAGTACAATGTAATGATAGGTACTGTATGGATGGAAAAATCATATAACATCTGTTCACATGTCACAAGTGAAAATAATTGGTTGGTAAAATTTAATTATGTACAAGTCAAAATTGGTATAGTAATTGGATGGATAGGATAAAATATCATGAGAGTGGAGTAAAGAGTAATATTAATACTACTGATGTGGTAAAGGTTAAGGACAGTCAATTAGTTAAATATTTGGGGCAGGACAAAGAAGACAAGGGACATAGCAGGCAATAAAATGTAATAAACTTAATAACATTAAAAAAACTGTTAAACAAATTTGAGTGAATTACACAGAATTACTGTACATAACTGAATTATTTAAGCACACAGTATTCACTGTATTTTAGCTTTGATATGAATTCATTAAGTATGTTAGTTTTTAATTCATCTGATAGGTTATTCCACATTTTTTAGTCCTTTAATTTGCAAAGAATTTCTATTGATGTTCAATGGAGCACAAAGTATATCAAAGAGGTATTGGTTTCTGAATGTGGAAACATCTAGATGTGAACACTAAATGAATCAGGAAATGTGGATTTTTTAATAAGACTTAAGTAGGTAATAATCACTCTATAAAACGGAATTTCTTATTTTTGTTCTTGTTATTCTGTTATTCTGTCAAATGTATTAATTTTTGGTGTTTGTGTGGTGCATGTGCACTGGGATTACATGTATATTATCTTTTTTATAAATCAGTTAAGAAATGTACGTAGATAATTTTTTCATAAAAGTTGTGTGTTTAATTATGGCTTTATAACTATAGAAAACCAGTAATCCATCAAGGCTCCAACCCCTATCATGCTAGATTTATGGTGTCCTAATGTACTGGTGGTCAAATTACGTAAAGGGTAAGACCTGCTGATAGCACTGGATGTAACGTCTGTTGCAGTCACTTAAAATAACGCTGAATATTTTTTCGAGGTATATTTTGCTCTTCAGTAATATCATGGAATTTGCCACTAATGGACATAAGGCCAAATTTTAAGGGTTGTTGAGGAAGATTGAGACTGCTGAATATACCTGTTAGAATTTTTGCTGTCATATTTGTTGTATGGAAGCACTGTTCACTATATGTATGTAAAGGCATGCTTTTATGTTAGAGGTCATTCTTCCAGGACCAGCAAACTAATTCAACTGAGCTGTACAGGAAGTAAAGTTATGAACACTTTTAATATAATCTTATCATTTATTACTTTTAGACGGATGTGTGGTGATGAATCTACAGTGACCAGCGTGAGCTTCACACCAGACAGTCTGTTATCTGGTAACAGGCACCAGTGGGGGTGAATTACGAGTGTGGGATGCTCGCTATGGCACTCCGTGCCACTCGCCATGAAGGCCGAGGCTCATGATTTAGGAGTGTCTTCAGTTCACTTTAGTCCAGCATTTGGGAAAGAAGGTGAATAAATTTAAACCAAAAGTAATTTTGTTTAAGAAAGGGTGAGAGGTGAAGTATTGATATTTATAGAATATTTTCAGTTTTTTGAAGATGTTTTCTTGTGTAATTTCAGAACACGGCATAATAGGAAAACAGTACCTGTTAGCTTCAGGTGGTCAGGACACAGAGCTGCAACTGTGGGTTGTAGAGATTGAGAGTCAGGTACTGGGAAGAGACAACATACCGACTATAACACCTCATCATAGTTTATGTGGTCACTCTGCACCAATAATGTCCGTCAGGTTCAGCGCCAGTGGACTAATTCTGGCATCTGCATCTGGAGACAAGACCATCAGACTTTGGGATCCAGTAAGTTCGCTCTGTATTGTGGAACATTTACCTCACAACGTTTTTGAACTGCACTTGCAAGAGTTCAAGACAGTATATTTTTTCTGTATATTTGAATTGTCAGTAAGTACTTGTTTATTGCATTCTTAGTACATGTATTTCCATACTTCATTTAATGGAAATAGGCCCTTCAAATATGGTGCAGTGATGCCTGTGAAGGGTTCTTGGTTTAAGAAATTGGAGCTACTTTTTGCTTCCTGACCTCAAACCTGATTGCCTTTTATTCCCCAAGCACTGTATGACCCTCATGGGTTTAGCACTTCCCAGTGAATATAATATGCATTAAACCTCTACAAAAATTCGATGTACATAAAAGGACCTAAAATCTGGAACTCCCTGCCTGAAAACTCTAGAACTGCAGACTCAACCATCATTTTCAAAGCTACCATTAAAAAACATCTCATCTCCCTAACACACCCCATCATCAGCTAACCAAATGAAAACCACCTAATTCTCTTTTTGTATCATGAACACATCCAAAACAGTATAGTCTTACTCTCATTATCTGTAATTCCCCCCTAATTTACACCCACCCAAATGACTGAAAATAAAATTCCTAATATAGCTATTGTCTATTAAGTCTTAGTTCTAAGTTTGCCTAAGATACTCTTCCATATATGAGCTTTAATAGAAACAGTGTATCATGCCAAGACAAATCCAATCCCATCACTAAATCTACCATTTGTAATACATTATATGATTTGTACTACCTAACTATCTAATTAGGTATGTATCTAATAATGTATGTTCAAATGTACTGCTCAATAACCTATATCAGTATAGAGTAAGAATTAGTATTAGTCTGCCCGAAATGCCTAGGCTGCTACTAGGTCTGATGCCGTGCTCCTTCCTCAAGAGGAAGTGACCTTACTAGGTGGGTCATTGGGCTAAGCCAGAGGGTAATATAGACCTGCTTTGCATGGGTCAGTAGGCCTGCTGCAGTGTGAAATTTTCAATACCTACTTCCTCTCAGTTTTCACCCAGGAAAATACTAGCGATATTCCTGAAATAATAGATTATGTGGAACAGGACGATAATAAACTATGCACGATTGCAGTAACTAGTGACATGGTCCTCAGACAAATAGAGAAACTAAAACCTAACAAATCCCCAGGCCCTGATGAACTGTTTGCAAGGGTGTTAAAGGGATGTAAAGAGGAACTTAGCATACCTTTGGCTAATCTTTTTAACATGTCACTACAAACTGGCATAGTGCCTGATAAGTGGAAAATGGCAAATGTAATACCTATTTACAAGGCAGGTGACAGGTCCTTGGCTTCAAACTATAGACCAATAAGCCTTACCTCCATAGTGGGAAAATTTATGGAATCAATAATTGCCGAAGCAATTCGTAGTCATCTTGATAGGCACAGACTGATTAATGAATCTCAACACGGTTTTACAAAGGGGCATTCCTGTCTTATGAATTTACTAACTTTTTTCACTAAGGTGTTTGAGGAGGTAGATCATGGTAATGAATATGATATTGTATATATGGACTTCAGTAAGGCTTTCGATAGAATTCCACATCAGAGGCTATTGAGGAAACTTAACCCTTTGACTGTCGCGGCCGTATATATACGTCTTATGTCCTGGTGTCGCAAAATTTAAAAAAAAAAAAAAAAAAATTTTTTCTTATGAAATGATAGAGAATCTTTTCCCGATTGTAATGACACCAAAAAAAACGAAATTTGATGGAAAACTGACGGAATTATGCTCTCGCGAAGTTAGCAACCTCGGCGCCGTTTACAAATCAGCGATTTCGCCCGCTTTGAGCCCTATTTTTGGCTAATTCCATTGTTCCAGTCGCCCAAACTCATAGCTATTTCTTTAGAACTTCCATTTTTTCTATCGATTGAGTACAAGAAACTGCCCATTTACCGATTTCAACTACCTAATAATGTGGTCAGAAATTTGCAATTTGGCCAATTTCACGAAAACTAAAAAATATGACAATTTCAAAATAAGGTCCAGAATGAACAATGCAGACATTCCTGGCTCTAAAATAACATTTTCTTTGCTCATCAGTCGTGTTTCCAGGCCCCTCTGATATTACTCTTGCTTTCTATTTTGAATTTTTATTCAAACAAAAAATTGAAGACTTACTATTATGCAGACTACTGCAATACTGTAATAATTGTATAAATAACATCAACCCATTCATGACTGCATATTAGAATGGCTAGTTGGACATTTACTGGAAAATGGCATCATTTGCTTACTTTTGAACATTGGCAAAAATCAAACATTTCCCCTACTTTGAGCTCCATTTCTAGGTTCTTTTTATAGTAAAATCAATCAAAATCATCTCTATTTCTATAATATGTCTTCCATTCTATCAAATGAGACCAAGAAAACGAGAATACAACCATAAATACTATACGAAAATAGACCACAAAGTCGGCATTTTAATTAAAAAAAAACGGTCGGAGTTTTTTTTCTCATTATGCACTGCGTGCTCCAGGATTTTTTTTATATGGTGCACACTGACCACACAGACCCATTCTCTCACATGTAGGCCTACCAGCTTTCTCCTGCTTGATTTGAAGCCGCTAGAATTTATGAGTATATATACGTCAAACACGGTACCTCGTAAGACGTATATATACGGCCGCGACAGTCAAAGGGTTAAGGCACACGAAATAGGAGAAATTTTTTCCTGGGTAGAGGCATGGCTGACAAATAGGCAGCAGAGAGTTTGCATAAATGGGGAGAAATCAGAATGGGGGCACGTCACAAGCAGTGTTCCACAGGGGTTAGTGTTGGGCCCGTTGTTGTTCACAATTTGCACAAACGACATAGATGAGGGAATAAATAGCGACATAAGCAAATTTGCTGATGACACCAAAATAGGCCGTCCAATTCATTCTAATGAGGACGCTAGAGCACTCCAGGATGATTTGAATAGACTGATGCAATGGTCGGAGAAGTGGCAGATGCAGTTTAATATAGACAAATGCAAAGTTCAAAATGTTGGACAGGAAAATAACCATGCGACATATAAACTAAATAATGTAGATCTTAATACTATTAATTGCGAAAAGGATTTAGGATTGGCTCGGAAATGGTCCGGTAACTCGCTAATAGTCCTTCGTCCCAGATGCGTATGCACGGTCTGAGCGGCCTCGAGCCGCCTCAGCCTTTCCTTCCCAGCCAGTGTGCCATTGGTTACCAGTGAGCGACGGTCCCCTCACGTGCTCCAGTGAAATATTTCATAAATATTTCATTTTTTTAGTGCTTGCAAGTTATTTAAGTGCTAAATAAGCTACCATGGCTCCAAAGAAAGCTCCTAGTGCCAAGCCTTTGGTAAAGAAGGTGAGAAATACGATTGAATTTAAGAAAAACATCATTGAACAATATGATAGTGGCGTACGTGTGGGCGAACTGGCCAGGATGTATAACAAATCCTGTACAACCATATTTATTTATTTATTTATTTAAAAATTTGTGCACACATACAGAGGTACAAAAAATACAGATAAGAGCAGCATGCCAAAGCCACTTATACTATGCATAGCATTACGGGCTGGCTTAAAATTAACTTAAGATGAACTAAGCAATGATGACATCGGTGATAAAACTTTAATGTAAACAGATTACTATAAAGCACAAGTGAGTATTACAAAGACAGTTCATATGGTTGTATGCATTGTTGTACATTCAGTAGAATGGAGTATTCTGTTAGGTAGTGTATTTAAAAAATAATAAAGTTAGATTGGGTTTTAGGTTTAACATTTATGTGATATAATTGTGAGAAACATTTAAGATATACAATTTATAAGGTTCAGTTATTCAGTATTTATTGGTTTTGGGTGAGTAAGTGATCTTTGAGAAGAGACTTGAATTTATAAACCAGGTAGTGTTTCTTTTATATTTACAGGTAATGAGTTCCAGATTTTAGGGCCTTTTATGTGCATTGAGTTTTTGCATAGTGTGAGATGGACATGAGGAACATCAAAGAGTGATCTGTGCCTTGTGTTATGGTCATGTGTTCTGTTGAGGTTGGCAAGGAGATGTTTGAGGGGAGGGTTAATATCAGAGTTAAGTGTTCTATGTATGTAATAGGTGCAGTAATAAGTATGAATGTTTTTGTATGGTGAATAGGTTTAGTGTATTAAATATTGGTGGAGTGTGCTGCCTATAGTGAGAATTTGTTATCATTCTAACTGCGCCTTTTGTTGGGTAATTAGTGGTCTGAGAGGGTTTACTTGTTGTTGAGCCCATGCACAAATTCCATAGGTGAGATAGGGGTAAATAAGAGAGTGATATAGGGCCAGGAGGGCTGACTGTGGAGCATAGTACCGTATCTTCGATAGTATGCCTACAGTCTTGGAAATTTTCTTAGAAATTTGTTGTATATGTGTATGAAATTTGAGTCTATTATCAAGGTGGATTCCTAAGAATTTTCCCTCTGTTAGCTTTGTGATAGGTGATCCGTTTATCATTATGTTAAGAGGGACATCTGTAGCTCTGTTACCAAACTGAATGAAGTAGGTTTTGTCAATGTTTAGTGTAAGTTTGTTAGTCCTCATCCAGGTAGATATTTTCTGTAATTCTGTATTTACAGTATTGGCTAGCGTGACTGGGCTCGGGGGGAGAAGACGTATGTAGTGTCATCTGCAAATAGTGTGGGTTTGAGTAATTGCAAAGCTTTTTGGTAGGTCATTTATGTATAGGAGAAAGAGAAGAGGGCCAAGGACACTTCCTGTGGGACACCAACTGTAATTGGTTGTGCAGAAGAGTTTGCCCCATTTGCATACACATATTGGCTTCTGTTGCTGAGGTATGACTTGAGGTAGTTGAGGGAGTGCCCTCTTATACCATAGTGTGACAATTTTACGTGGAGCAAGTCATGGTTAACTGTATCAAAAGTTTTAAACGTAAGTCAATGAAGATCCCCAGTGGGACTTCTTTTTTCTCTATTGCAGTATATATATATGTTCTAGCATGTGTATAATAGCATCATTAGTATTTTTATTTGGCCTGAATCCAAATTGGCAGGGGTTGAGTATGTTTTGGGAGATAAGGTAGGAGTAGATTCGTTTATGAAATTAATTTTTCGAAGATTTTTGAGAGAGGGTGTAAGTTGGATATTGGCCTATAGTTATTCAACTCTGTTTGGTCTCCTCCTTTGTGGATCGGGGTGACCCTTGCTATTTTGAGTACTGTGGGGAAGGTGGAGGATTCAATGGATTTGTTAAAGAGTGTTGCAATGATTGGTGATAGCACTTGTGACACTTTTTTGTATATAAAGGGTGGTAAGGTATTTAAATCTCCTGCCTTGTTTTTAGCGTGTTGATAATAAGGGAGACTTCGTATGGGTTAGTCGGAGCTAGGAACAGTGTGTTCGGGTAGTTGCCAGTGAGGTAGTCATTTGGTGGGGTATCTGAGCTTGGGATTTTATTGGCAAGGTTTTGTCCTATAGTGGAGAAAAGTCATTGAGTCTGTTTGCTGTTTCTGTTGGTGGGAGTTGGGGTTCATCTGATTTTGCTAATTTTATTTCGCTATTTCGTGATATCTTTTTTGTTCCTAGAATTTCTGATAGGGTTTTCCAGGTCTTTTTTATATCACCTCGTAAGTTGGATAATCTGTTCTCATAATACAATTTTTTTGCCCTTCTTATCAGGCTGGTTAGGATTGACGAGTAACGTTTTGTTTGGTCTCTGGTTATGTGACCCATTCTGTACTGTTTTTTCATATTGGTGTTTTGTATTTATGGATTTGAGAATGCTGGGTGTTAACCAGGGACTGTTCAGTCTCTTAGCTGTCATCTGTTTAGTTTTTTTAGGGCAGTGCTTGTTATAGAGGTATTGGGTCTTTTTTAGAAAATTATTAATACATTCGTCAATATCTGTATAGATTTCTAGCTCAGTGTGCCAGTCAATGTTTGCTACTGCTGTTGTGAAGTTATTAATGGCTGCCTCATTGTGAAGTCTGAAGGTGACTTTAGTAGTGTCTTGGGGTAATTTACCAAGAGTTGTTATGAGAAAAGTAGGGTAGTGGTCTGTGGTATTATCTGTAATTATGCCTGAAAAAGGAAATCAAGGACGCTGTTGTTGCAAAGGGGGTAAATATGCTGACAAAAATGAGATCACCAGTACTCGAAGATGTTGAGAAGTTATTATTGGTGTGGATAAATGAGAAACAATTAGCAGGAGACACTCTTATGACGTCGCTTATTTGTGAAAAGGCTAGGCAGTTGCATGACGATTTGGTAAAGAAATTGCCTGCAACTAGTGATGATGTGAGTGAATTTAAGGCTAGCAAAGGCTGGTTTAAGAGATTTAAGAAGCGTACTGGCATACACAGTGTGGTAAGGCATGGTGAGGCTGCCAGTTCGGACCACAAGGCGGCTGAAAAATATGTGCATGAATTCCAGGAGTACATAAAAAGTGAAGGACTGAAACCTGAACAAGTGGTCAATTGTGATGAAACAGGCCTCTTTTGGAAGAAAATGCCAAAGAGGACCTTCATTACACAAGAGGAAAAGGCAATGCCAGGACACAAGCCTATGAAAGACAGTCTGACGCTAATGTTCTGTGCTAATGCTAGTGGGGATTTCAAAGTGAAGCCGTTACTAGTGTACCATTCTGAAAATCCCAGAGTGTTCAGGAAAAACAGTTATGAAGAGTAAATTGTGTGTGTTTTGGAAATCTAATAGTAAGGCATGGGTCACGAGGGAAATTTTTGTAGAGTGGTTCAACGAAATGTTTGGCCCTAGTGTGAAGAATTACCTCCTGGAAAAGAAATTGGATCTCAAGTGCCTCCTAGTAATGGACAATGCACCTGCTCATCCTCCAAACTTGGATGGACCTAATTCTGAAGGAGTTTGGGTTCTCACAGTAAAGTTCTTGCCCCCGAATACCACTCCTCTCCCCCAAAACCCATGGACCAGCAGGTCATTGCAAACTTTAAAAAACTCTACACCAAAGCAATGTTTGAAAGGTGCTTGAATGTGACCTCAGACACTCACTTGACCCTACGAGATTTTTGGAAAGAACATTTCAGTATTCTCCATTGTGTAAGCCTTATAGGTAAGGCTTGGGAGGGAGTGACTACCAGGACTTTGAACTCTGCTTGGAGAAAATTGTGGCCAGATTGTGTCCACAAGAGGGATTTTGAAGGGTTTGGGGCTGACCCTGATGAGCCTATGTCAGTTGTTAAATCCATTGTGGCACTGGGGCTTCCATGGGGTTGGATGTGAGTTTGGAGGATGTGGAAGAGTTGGTGGAGGACCACAACAAAGAGCTCACCACTGAGGAGCTGCAAGAGCTTCAGCAGGAACAGCAACAGATTGGCAGCTCTGAATTTTGCTGCAGAGGAGGAGGAAGAGAGATGGGGGAAAGGGTGCCTTTTTCAGAAATTAAGGAATTTTTGAAATGTGGGGTAGGATGGAAAGATTTATGGAGAAACATCACCCAGAGAAGGATGTTGCAAGCCATATCGGCAACTTGTACAGTGACAGAGTCTTGGCCCATTTTAGGGAAGTTTTAAAGAGACGCCAGAAACAGAGCTCTCTGGACAGTTTTTTTGCGAGACAGGACTCCCGTGACTCTCAAGGTGGTCCTAGTGGTATTAAAGAAACAGAGAAGAGGGAAATAACCCTAGAAAAGCAATTGGTACCCAAGGTGTTGATGGAAGGGGATTCCCCTTCCAAACAGTAATTCATCCAGTCAGTCTTCTCCAGTCTTCCATACACAAAGAAGAATCGCCAATAAAGGTAAGTGTTATTCTGTTAATGTTTAATTCATCATGTGCCACTGTATTGTTTATGTACTACATCTATATTTCATGTAAAAAAAATTTTTGTTTTAATACTTCTGGGTGTCAGGAACGGATTAATTGAATTTACATTATTTCTTATGGAGAAAATTGATTCGTAAATCGTCCATTTCGATAATAGTCCCACTTCCAGGAACGGATTATGGACGATTATTGAGGGACCACTGTATCAGAAATCTTCCCTATGAGGATAGACTGAGGGCCCTGAATCTGCACTCTCTCGAAAGGCGTAGAATTAGGGGGGATATGATCGAGGTGTTTAAATGGAAAACAGGAATAAATAAAGGGGATGCAAATAGCATGCTGAAAATTTCCAGCCAAGACAGGACTCGCAGCAATGGTTTCAAGTTGGAAAAATTCAGATTCAGGAAGGATATAGGAAAGCATTGGTTTGGTAATAGAGTTGTGGATGAGTGGAACAAATTCCCAAGTACAGTTATTGAGGCTAAAACGTTGTGTAGTTTTAAAAATAGGTTAGATAAATACATGAGTGGGTGTGGGTGGGTGTGAGTTGGACCTGACTATCTTGTGCTGCTGGGTCTGGTGCCGTGCTCCTTCCTTGAGTGGAGGTGACCAGACTGGGTGGGTCATTGGGCTAATCCGGGGAGGGATGGGGAGCATGGACCTGCTCTACATGGGTCAGTAGGCCTACTGCAGTGTTCCTTCTTTCTTATGTTCTTATGCGTGTCATAAGAGGCAACTAAAATGCTGGGAGCAAGGGGCTAGGAACCCCTTCTCCTGTATAAATTACAAATTTAAAAAGTGAAAATCGTTTTTTTTTCTTTTTTGGGCCACCCTGCCTTGGTGGGATATGGCCGATTTGTTGAAAGAAGATTGGGAAAAGTCACAGATAAATTTATTAAAGCTATGTTAATACCATGAGTTTAGATATGTATGCATTCTTAGAGAGGTAGACCAAGTTATAACCAGGCAGATGGGTTTGCTGTCAGAGGTGGTGGTTACCTCTCTGATACACACACTGCTTTTTATACTGTAATAAAAACCAGTATGTGTATCACACACTTGTTTACTGTCTTGCTTGTGGTAAGACAGTGATGGAGTGGGTGATGGTGAAAGTGTTTCTTCTTTTTTGGGTCGCCCTACCTTGGTGGGACACGGCTGGTGTGTTACAATATACACATGGCTGGTATGTATGTTGTAATAAACAGAATAGAGGAAATCAGCTCTAATATACATTATTTAGGTATGCACACTGGTCAGACAGCCCGTTGTAAGTCCGAGTCATTGGTAAACAAGTAACTCTCTAAGTGAGGAGAGGCTGGATTTAGTAAATTGTATCACATCCTAGGCTTAAATTAATATTTTTTAAGTATTTTTTTCTGTTCACAGATAAAGCTAACAGCTCTTGGTATATTAGAAGGCCACAACCGATATGTAACCTCATGTGCCTTTAGTGATGATGGAGCCTTGGTAGCTGCAGGGAGTGGTGATCGTGTTGTGCATGTATGGAGAGTTGATGGTGCTACAGGCTCACTCTCCCAAATGTCTACACATGCTGGTGGCCAGAGAAAACTGCTCGTTAGGTTTCCATCACAGAAATTTCGAGAGAACATTAAGGTATGTTGTATTTTTTCCCTAATTTGTAGATCCAATTATAAATATTTTGTATTACAGTACAGTACTATAAATATAAAGAACTGCACTAATACAGTTGACATTGATTTGTAATGAAATCCTTTTGAATTTTTTGACTGCTGTGTGTTTTTATATTCTACCTTCATTTTACCATTCTGCATTAGTTACTTTTTCTTATGTAGCAAGTTTTTTTTCTTTTTTTCTCCCAGCTAGTTGATTGGAACTGTGAGGATGTGTGTGGCTGGTTGGTTGAACAAGGGTTAGCAGAATATTCTCACAATTTCCGTACACATGCCATTGATGGCAGAGAATTGTTAACAATGACGGATGAAATCCTCGAGCAGAAACTTGGTGTTGGTATGTCTTTTACTGTAGCTTTTTCTATGTTTTATGTTCACATTCATTCTATATCCTATATACTACCTGTCTATTTTTCTGTCTTGCATGCTTGTCTAAATCAGTTATTCAAATCTGTGAGATTTCCTTTCAAACTCATCAGAAAAATAGGTTGGAATTGTTTCCTCATAACCATGAGTAACATCCTGAAGTGTTTGGAATAATGGTATTCCACTCTGTTGTGCTGTATTTTTAATGTGAAACTGAGAATTGTAAAATGAAAGGTATTAATTTTTAATTACATATATGGTACCAGTAACCCCTTCTGTATATGTTACTAAATTTAAAAGAAAGAAACTTGTTTTTCCTTTTGAGCCGCCCTGCCTTTGTGGGATATGGTTGGTTTGTTGAAAGAAAAATATGGTACTTTATATTACAATTGTGGATGTGAGGGACATATCTTCTTGGGAAACGACTGACTCACTTCTAAAATAGACAGTTTCGAAAAAGCCAAAGTACGAACAGCAGGGACACATCTGTCAGAACTGGTAGAGGACATGGAAGAGGACATGGAGGAGGAAGACATCTACAGCCATCTCACCCTCCACTAACACGGTTCCAGCGGCAGAACCTGAGGACAAATCTGCGAAACACAGGTGGTGCAACAAATCATAGTCCACCCTCCCAGGCACCTAGGCTGTGCTCTCGCTGTCACTGGAAGGGGCACACCGCCAACAACTGCCTGCGAGATACCAGGTGCAATTACTGCTACAAGAAAGGACATCAGGAGGACCAGTGTCGGAAAAAAAAGGAACTTGACAGACAGGACCACCTGTTTAGAGACCTGTTCTCAGAACAAACCAGCAGGATCTCTGAATTGGGGAACACACTCACACATCACCCACTCAGCTACTCCTATCTCAGCCCAGCAGGTGGTACTGTGCCTTATACAAGACCACAGACCAACATCCCTGCAGCTGCCTCAGTACCCTACCTCTCTCAAGGGCAGGCACCTTACATGCCCTACACACCCACCACCTCAAGCTGACCACATCATGAGGAGCCAGTCTATCAGCATCCTGTCAGCCAACATTAGAGGTTTCATTACTAATGTTGGAGAGCTCACACATAGTTTTATGAACACTCGACGTCCCGACATGATAGCTGTTGTTGAAACATTTTTAGATGACAGGACTCCAGAAAATTTTGCAAGAATTGTTGGCTACACCTCATGGATGAGAAGAGACAGCAAGGGCAAGGAGGAGGTGTTGCTGTGTGCTTCTCTAAAAGTGTTCATGTTCAGCACATTGATGGTGCCACCCCTACTCATCTTGAAATGATGTTCTTCAAGCTCTGCATAAACACTAGTACCTCTATACTAGCATGTGCAATGTACAGACCTCAGTGGCAACATGCAGACCCCATCAACTTCCTAATGGAAAATATTGACTCCCTTCTGCTACAACACAACTGTCAACATATAATTGTTGGTGACCTCAACCAACACCTTATATAGAGGGACTTTGATGACCTTCTTGCAGTATTTGACATGAGAAACTTTGTTGATTTCCCTACTCACATCTCTGGCTCCTCTCTTGACCCAGTAGTGAGTGATCTGGCAGAAGGCATAGTCATTTGTCAACCCCTCGGCTATGTTGGATCGTCTGACCACAAGGCTGTTTTTATGACACTTAAGATCCCAACAGAACGAGGTGAGGAGTCCACACGCACAACCTGGCTATGGGAAAGAGGTAATTGGCCAGCCCTTTGCTCTGAGCTCGCCACCACTGATTGGAATGCTCTTCTCCAGGGGGATGTTGACAACCAAGTGAAAGCCTTCACTGGACACATCCTTAATCTACAACAAGAACACATTCCTCACCAGAAATATGTGATGAAGCCTACAGATCAGCCTTGGTTTGGCTTTCGTTGTAGTGAGGCTGCTACTGCTAAGTACAAAGCATGGCGAAGGTATAAGAGACATCCTACCACCTATAACAGGAACTTGCACAAGCAAGCCTGTAGGCATATGGGTGATGTTCAAAAGTGGGCCATTGCTAAATGGGAGGTGGACACTAACAGAAAGCTAGCATCAGGTAGGGTAGGCTCCAAAACCTGGTGGTCCCTGGTCAAGGACAGACAAGGTTATCTGCCTGATGAACTCATTCCACCTCTAAATCGACAGGATGGGACCACCTCTACTAGTAGTCAAGAGAAGGCGGACCTCTTTGCTGAACACTTTGCTACCAAAATGCAAGATCCTGATCCAGCGAGGGACCCTCCTTGGCTAGCTGCAAGAACTGTGTCAAAACTGTCAGTGGTGACAATAAGGCAGGAGGAGGTGCATTTTCTTCTTAAATCACTTGACCATGAAAAATCTGTGGGCCCAGACAAGTTGAGCCAAAGATTGCTGAGAAGATGTGCAGACCAGCTAGCAGCACCTCTGACTCGCATCTTTCAGCACTGCCTTGTACAGTGTAAATGGCCCTCTCTATGGAAAGAGGTAAATGTAGTCCCTGTTCACAAAAAGATCAGAGCAGAAATCAGCAACTACAGACCAGTGTCACTCCTGTCAATCACTGGTAAGATCCTTGAGACATTAATCTCAAGACAAATGAGAGAGTTTTTTGACTACCACTCACTACTTTGCAATCGTCAATATGGCTTCAGGAAAGGTTACTCTGCTGCTGATCTGTTGTTAAACCTCTCCACTAAGTGGCACCAGTCACTGGATGAATCCAAAGTCAGCTGTGTGGTAGCACTGGACATTGCTGGCACTTTCGACCTGGTGTGGCACCAGGGCCTCTTAGCAAAACTTCAAGCAATGGGAATTGCAGGCTCTACACTACGTCTCCTCAGTGATTACCTTCATGGTAGATCTCTAAGAGTAGTTCTCAATGGAACGGAATCAGCAAGACATCCTATTGGGGCAAGTGTTCCACAAGGAAGCGTGCTGGGTCCATTGTTATGGAATGTCTACTTCAATGACCTTCTTCTCATCCCAGAATCACATGCATATGCAGACGACTGTACACTGACATTCGCTTATCCAAGAGAAGAAATGCCAGCTGCTCTAAGCTACATCAATCACCAGCTAAGAGCTATATCAGCTTGGGGAAATAGATGGCAAGTAACATTTGCACCTGAGAAAACGCAAATGATGATGGTCTCTAGGCACCATGATGGTAATGCTGGTGCAGTAGTAAGGATGAATGGGAGGGTGTTGGCACCTGGAGAAGAAGTTGATATCCTTGGTGTGAAATTTGACTCCAAACTAACCATGAAGAACCATGTTGTAAATCTTGCAAACAAGGCAGCCAGGAAGCTTACAGCACTTCGCCGTATCTCACATCTGCTTGACAGTAGGGGTTGCAAGATTCTGTTCGAGGCACAAGTACGCTCACACCTTGAGTATGCTCCACTTTCTTGGTTTGCCTGCCCCCCCTCTCATCTGCGACTGCTTAACAGAGTAGAGAACAGAGCAAGACGTCTCATCTCTCGCCTGGACCCATCCTGGATACATCTGGCATTTCAGCAGAGCCTTCAACACAGGAGGGATGTGGGTGGCCTTACTGTTATGTACAAGGCCAATATTGTCAAAGTACCACACTTGGATCCACTTCGAGGACAGCATGAAACAAGCTTTTATGCCACAAGACGGGCAGAAAGCAGCAACTTCACTCTGGCTGTACCCTTCTCCAGAACATCACTCCATCTGAGATCATATATACCCAGGATGACTCTTGTATAGAACACATTCGTACAGCATAATGATGTCAACGAGATAAAATCAGTTGATCAAATGAAAATGCTGGCCCACAGATGGCTCCAACTTCATCCTGTTCCCTACTTGTATGTCTCATAACAATAAAAACGCTTTCAAATGAGCTGATGTAGGTAACAGCTCTTAGCTTGCCAATAAAGTTAGGAATCCTTAACCTGTAAATAGCTTGTCAATAAAGCTGGGGATCCTTAACCTTGTCAAACCCTGTGTAAAAAAAAAAAAATATATACATTGTATTTTCATATGCTGTAATTATACATATATACATTTTATTTGGCTTTATATACACCCTGTCATCTTATGGAAAATATGCACCTTTAAATGACTGAGAGAATGTGCAAAATACATTGTTAGCATTCTGTTGCCTAATGGACACATTTATGTATGTTAATGTATGTCAGGGTAGGAGAATGTAAATTTGCCTTTTCAAAAATTAATATTTTTATCTTCTAAACTTGCAGAGAATTTTTTTCTAAATGTAAAAGGAAAAAATGTGAAATTTGATGAAAAACATATGGGATTTAGTAGGCGTGAAGCAGGTCTGGGTATAATTTATGCATTAGCAATTCTGCCACTTTGAAGTCTGTTTTAGGCCAATTCCATTGTTCAAATTGATGAAATTCTTTACTATTTTGCTAGTATGCCTTCCATTCTGTTGACTGAGTGTAAGAAACTGCCCATTCAATTTTCAGAGCTACTCTATTAAATGCAATTTTAGATGAAATTCAACAAATTCCAATTTAAAAGCAAAAAAATGAATACTCTATGCATTCCAAGAACTCAGGCAGCCTTACCCCTGCTCATTAAACACACCTTGAGGACTTTCCTATATAACACTTGTTCTCCATTTTGAATCCACATCACAAAAAATTTAAATTTTTACCTCTCTCAGTTAATAAAATATAAACAAGAACACTTGGTCATAGTTTAAGCAGTTCCAATAAGTGAAGCAGGCCTAGTAAAAACCCATAATACATACTGGGGGTGGATGAACTTCTACCCTCACTCAGGAAAATTGCCAAAAATAAAATATTTCTGGAACTTTGAGTCCCATTTCAGGCCACTTCCAGTATGAAACTAACCAAATTCTTCTGCATTTTGTAAGTACGTTTCCTGGTCTATCAACTGGCATCAAAAAACAGCCAATAAGCCATAAAAATCACCCAGGAAAATACTTAAGTTGCTATTGTAACAAACACAAGGTCAGAGGCTAGCTGTTCCCATCATGCACTTCGAGGGTCAGGATTTTTTTTTGTATATTGTGCACACCCACTGCAGAGACTCATTCTCTCATGTCTAGGTCAAAATTTACTGATCACAACAAATCTGAGGGCATTTTGATCAAGACAGATCTTCATAAGTAACACTAGCCTCAGTGACATAGATGTGTGTGACTGACAGTTTACCTGACTAGGAATATATTTACCCACTGTACTAACAGTAGTTGGGTAAAAACTTCATGGCAGTGAACACTGAAATGCCAACACTGTCTTCATTGGTTAGTGTAGCAGTTTGTACATTCTGCCATTTATAAATGCTCAATTCCTTAAAAGGATTGATTTTTATTATGTATACTTAACAGATGCTCTAGGGCACCGCAACAAAATTCTTCGACTGATTCATAAATCTGCACAGGATTCACAGGCCAAAAAAACAATTCCAGACGCACCACCTACAGAGTATCTTTGTCCTATTACACAGGAGCTAATAAGTGATCCTGTTTTATGTGCTGGTTAGTAAAACTTATCAGTTTTGTTTTTAATACTATTCATATTTTTAAGTTCATCAAATATACTACAGTATACATGTATTGTAAATGCCTCTATGAATGATCACCTTATATGATGTGTTCCTGACTAAGTACTTTATTACATTACTTTCTCAGGCTTGTGATATGATGAAGTATAAATTCATATTTTTATTTGAGAAGTAGATCTCCAAGGGGAAATAGAGAAGAACCCTTCCTCCTTAAGCCAGGCGTGTTGTAAGAGGTGACTAAAATGCTGGGAGCAAGGGGCTATTCACTCCTTCTCCTGTATAAATTAGTAAATATTATTGTAACCATGAACCAGGGGTATTGATCAATAACAACACTGTGACTAACCATGGACTTGAACTTGTGTTGTTTTGGCAAACCTCATGGTGAGCGAAAACCACATGATACTCTAACCCACAGGACACCAAATCCTACAAGAATCACGCACCCAGCAGAGCTAGGTGTTTTAGCATGATCTGAGGACATACGGTGGTGTGGGTGCCTCTGATCTAATTTCATTCTACTCCCCGTTTGGTGTACTAGCCTTAACAAGCAGTATTTTATATTATTGTAACCACGAAGAAGTGGTATTGATCAGTAACAATACTGCGGCTAGCCAAGGACTTGAACTTATGTTGTTTTGGCCTGCCTCATGGTGAGTGTCATGTGGTTTTCGCTCACCATGAGGCAGGCCAAAATAACATGGGTTCGAGTCCTTGGTTAGTCGCAGTATTGTTATTTATAAATTAGTAAATGTAAAAAGAAGAAAAGCTTTATGAAGTTTTCTTCTCTTTTGAGTCACCATGCCTTGGTGAGAGACAACCAGTATGTTTAAAAAAAAAAAAAAGTATATCAGAGGAAATTTTGCCTTAGAAATCTCTAAGTCTTTCATAATGCCCTTCACAAAAGTTAATTCATCCCAGTACATTTTTTATACTGTATAATGTCTGTTAGTATGTAATTGAAGAATATATTGTGGTAATAATTATCTGAATTTATTGCTTCATCACTATGAATGCTTGGTAATTAATATTTATTTGCTATGTTCTCAGATGGATTCACATATGAACGAGTGGCAATGGAAGCTTGGCTTGCTAGTGGTAAACGTACGAGCCCAATGACCAATGAGAAACTCTTGCATCTTGTTCTCACTCCAAACCGCACACTAAGGACATTAATACAGAGGTACAGGGAGGAAAGTATGTGACCTTGCAGGTTATGTATATGATTCATATTTTATTCACTAACTACTGCTAAATTGCAAAACAAATGTTACTATTAAATGTGTAAGTAATGTAATTAAGACATTTATTTATATATGTTAATTATTTTATTAAAGTAGACTGGCTATAGGGAGCATGATATACACTATGTACTTTACATTTGTTAAGGAAATTGAAAAAGTGATACTGCCAATGCTGCTGTTTCTTACAGATTGACCTGAGGTGGATCATAATTATTCAGTACAGTATATACTGTGTTATAATTCTGTATAACTTTGACCCTAATTAATGCAAGAGCTAAAGTGTTCAGGCTGGGCATTATTATTTTTCTAGATTAGCATGTACAGACATAGTCATTCTTTTTTTCTAATCAACATGTAAGTTTAATACCCTGTTCCCATCTTTAAAGTGGTGGTGGCATCTTGTAGAATGCTCTCCAGACAGGTTGGTCACATCATTACTTTAGACACTTGTTTCTTGCTAGTCAAACAAGGATTTTTTTTATGTAAATTAAAGGAATTAAAGTTGATAAAACATCAGGACATTTATGTATAAAAAATTTAATGAATTTTATTATGAGTAGTGTATTATCCATCCATGATGAAAGGAAATCTGGGGACCAATACATGGAGGGGAGTTTACAGGCTGAGGAGTTTGAAGTATTAGATGATACACGTAGTTAATCATAATGAAATATACTGTATTTGCATTATTTCTGTTACTATAATTTCCATATCAGAACTTCAAATTACATGTCAAATTAATAAAAAAAAGGTTTATTTATAGGTCTTATACAGTTCCAGATTTATGTCAGAGGTTGACAGATTTGCAGTATCATTACTTGTTTGCATTTTGTTGGTCAGGAACATTGCTGTCTTACATTTTTTAACAGCATTTAATGAATGTAAGAAATAGCATTCCTGGCTTAAATAATAATTTGATATATGTACAAACATTACATGTAAAATTTACATTTTTAGATTCTTCATTATTTTCAGTACTTATCATTCATAGATGACATATGTTGTTTGTAGGAAATATATAAGTAATATATACCTAACAGTTCCAAAGTGCATTTTATGCATGATGTAGTGCAGCAGCAGTACATAGTGTTGGCTGACATAATGTAATATATTCAACTTTAAGAAGAAGGGTGGCTTGTAATTATTAGACACAGTAATTGTGTTGATAATTCTCTCAGCTTGATGTTTGCTGTATAGTGAGAGCAAACATCTGCTCTGTCACTGTTAGTTACATATACTTTCAGGTCTGATGGTTTTTATAGTCACTAGTACTGAAAGCAGTGGTGTACAACATCTTTAATCAAGAGAGTATTTGCTTTATACTTGTTCTACCAAATACTTATCTAATAAAGTGGATTCTTTTTCAGTCTTTGGCACGATTGATATACTTGGCTAGACAGACACTTGTTTAATCAATGAGACTGTCATCACCATCCAGTAGTGCATAAAACAAATATTATCCAACATTGTGCTGTCAATGTTTAGTAAGACTGTCTTGTTTTTGCTTTCCTTGTAATGAATTAATTTTAGAAATTTCTGGAAAGCAGCCAGTATGAAGAAATTTCCATAAATTGTTAACCTTGGATTAACTTTCAGCTTTTATCAGTGGACATCTTCTACTTCTAATTTACCATTTTTAAAATTATGGTCATTGTATAGCATTTAATGCAGTTATAGGGAACTTCTGCATCACAGATCATATCCAACTCGCATTGTGTTGGTATGTTCACTATATTAGGTTGCTAATATATATTATAAATGCTAGTGAAGGGTTTTGGGGAGTGTAAAAGGAAATGAAAATAATGAACATAGAAAAGAGTAAGGTGATGAAAATAAGTCTGACTGGCTATCGGACTGGAGGGAGGGAGTATGGAGGAAGTGAATGAGCTTAGATATCTGTGAATAAATGGGTCGGCAAATGGGTCTATGAAAGATGAAGCGAACTGTAGGTTAGAAAAGAAAGAAATTTATCTATGGGGCAAACATTTGGAATAAACTAGAGTATAGTGTTACTAACACTTTTATATGGGTGTGAGGCATGGGCTTCAAACAATGCAGCAAGGAGGTGGCTGGAGACATTAGAGATGTCATGTTCGAGAGCAATCTATGATGTGAACAGTATGCAGAGAATTAGGAGCACAGAAGTTGGAAGACAGTGTGGGGTTACAAAAAGTGTAATTCAGACGGCAGAGTAGCGTTGTTGAGGTGGTTTGGTCAGTTAGAAAGGATGGATAGAAATAGGATGACCAAGAGACTATAAATATGGGGTGGAAGGAAGGAGTAGGGGTCATCTCAGGAAGAATTGGAAGGAGTGTGTGAAGGTTTCAAATGGTAGGGTTTTTGAACACTCAGGAGGCATGTGTGTGTTAGATTTGAGTGATTAGAGGATGGTGGTGTTGCAGCTCAAAGAATTATTTAAGTTACATGTCTGTGCACTTTTGTCAAGTCAGGTATTGAATCAATGACGGTGAATGTTTTCTTTTTGAGTGATAAAAAAAAAAAATCCTAATAAATTTGACAATTTTTATGTATATATCATCATGTGAGCTGGATAAAAAAGAACAAGAATGAATTGAAGCATGCTGTGGGTTAATCTGTATGTTCCCATGCCCAAACTAAAGACAGTGACTATTTGTATTCAGTATTGTATGTTGTATGCTTTAAATTTGTGTGAAGTCATCAAAATAGGCTATTTTACATACAATTACTCGAAGATTTTGCATATGCCCACCCCTGGAAGAAATAAGACACCAAAGATGTAGCTCAGGTCTAAGTCAAGACTCCAGTTTTAGGCATGTTTAGATCCAGCACATTTGGTTATACTTTTTTCAGTATTTTATGTAGCTATTATGTCAGAATATTAAAATTATTTCAAAATTGAGTTCTCAAAATGTTATACAATAACACTTATTAGGAAATTAATTTTGTGGCCATATTTGAACATATTATGTAAATAATTGTATTAAACCAAATACAGTGGACCCCCGCATAACGATTACCTCCGAATGCGACCAATTATGTAAGTGTATTTATGTAAGTGCGTTCTGTACGTGTATGTTTGGGGGTCTGAAATGGACTAATCTACTTCACAATATTCCTTATGGGAATAAATTCGGTCAGTACTGGCACCTGAACATACTTATGGAGTGAAAAAATATCGTTAACCGGGGGTCCACTGTACTACCACTCAGTCTGGTCCCTGAGTAGGAAACTGCCTATACCTGAAAAAGACAGGATATTAGTTTTTAGTACTGCATAGTCACATCATGATTCACATAGCTATGATTGTGCAGCCACTCACTTCATTAGTTACTCCCAGAAGGTACCTTTAATTAACTATGGTAGCTGTTTGAATTGTTTTTCTTGCTCTGAGGTTTTTTTGTCTATAACTTGAGAATGCCTTATCAGATCGGCCTCAAATTTTCAACACTCATATACTGTAACTGAGGAAATGTTAATGCAACTATTGGTATGTGCAGGTGCCCTCTGGTCAGTTTTATAAAGACCTTTCACAATTTTGGTTTCTGTGCAATAGGTTGAAAAGGCATCTTTTGATTGGCTTCAAACTTTCAACAGAGGAGTCTCCTGCTTAGAAGAAGATTGGGGCTGTTATTAGAGGGTGTAGCTGGCAATCTGCCAGTTTTATTTTTAAAAGGAAGTGTTTTCTGTGAAATAACTTGGAGTATGCCAGTTTTGAATGCCTTCAGTCTGTAATGACTGCTGCTGTTATCTTATGGACAGGATGACATCAGGTAAGCTTAGATTTTTTAGATGGAAATTTACCAATTTACTAACAGTTTATTAACTTAGAATCATTGCATTCAAAGGAGTAACTGGAGAATGCCTCCTATGATTGTCTTCTAACTTTGAGCAAAGCTGGTCTTTGCTCCAAGGAAGGCTCACATTGATTCTAGGCTGTGCACATTTTAATTTGTCACTTTTGTTAAATAAAATTTTTTCATGCATAACTAGAGAATACCTTTTTTGATCAGACTGTTTTGAGCTGTGTAGATACCAATTTTCCAATTTTATTTAAGAAATTGTGAAAATTTATATTTTAGTTTTCATACGATAATTTGTGAATGACTTAATTGGCTTTTGAAGCGAGGTTTCGGTGCTGATATATCCCAACTAGGGTAAAGCTCTGTACTCATGGGATGTATGCAAATTCCAGTTTCTGTAAAAGTAATATTTTTTTCTTATAGGGCTGTAGAGAATTTGAAATAGAATATGTATAACTGAGAAAGAAAATTCATAGTGAAAACTTGCATTTTTGTGGCATTTTTAAATTTCACAAGTTTAGCGAGTTCTTAAATATCACTTTTTTTTTTTTTTTTTTTTTTTTTACAATTTTATTCAGTAGAGGTCTTGTTTGCCTCTAGGGTTTTCACTTTAACCTTAGAAAGCTTCATCTGATCAGCCTTAAAGTTTCAGTGCTGGTCAACTAGAGGAAAGTTCATGGAACTGGTTGCTTGGGATAGGACATGTCAATTTTGTAGATATTCCTGATTAGCTCAAACTTTCTGTACTGATTATGTTACTTAGAATAAGGATGGGGTCATTATTAGTGTGTAGGTGCTAATTTGCCAATGTTATTCTTTAAAAGTGATTGGGTATTTTTTCAGTGAAAAAGGTTGAGTAAGCATCTTTTGAATAGCTTCTGTCTTGAATGGCTCATGCGCTTCATGAAAAGGACGATACCTTTTGGGTTTAGGCTGCATAGGTGCAAACTTGCCAATTTACTAACATAGTAAACAAACTTTTATTTATTAGACCCTGCATGATAACTGGAAAATGCATTGTCTGGTTGACTTCCAACTTAGTGTTGGTTAATTTTTTGTCTATGTTTAAATTTGCCAATTTCATTAAACAAATTGGTTTACATGCAGTAACTGAAGAATGCCTTTTGTGATTGGCTTCAAACCTAATTTTACATACAGAGAAGTTTGGATTAATTTTGAGCTGGGTTGGTGTCACTTTTTCTGAATACACTGAGAAAATTGAAATGCTGTATTGGCTTTCATAGAATAATTTATGACAGCCTTACCTGAGTAGCATCAAACCTTAAAAAAGGGGCAGCTTCAACTTAAGTGCTGGTGTATTTTAGGGGTATTGGTCTCTGTTCTATAGCTAAAGAATACTTCAGATTGAATTAAATTGTTTAAACCTCATGCATCTTAGTGGAAGGTTTGAATTTGTTTTGGGCTGTTTGGGTGCTAATTTGCCATTTTTATTTTAGAAATTGGTATATTAGTTTGTATCTTCTGATTATCTTCATTGTTGATATTTAACCAATAGAAACTTGTGCTTCACTTCATACTTTTCCTTTTACAGTGGAACCTCAAATATAGAACTTTCTTCGGTCCAGAAGGTTGTTCAAGTGTCGCTACCGAACGAATTTATTCCCATCGGGAATAATGTAAATTAGATTAGTCCATTTCAGACCCTCAAAAATACACTTATAAAAGCACTTACAAAAATACACTTACATAATTGGTTGAGTTGGGAGCAGTTCGATTTTTGAGGTTCCACTGTACTTGCATTAGAGTAGAGTGGGCTGGGCTTATGGAATAGTAATACCTTTCTCAAATTGCATAGTAACCAAAACACATCTAGTTTTTATTCTTCTACATAAAAAATCCTGTAGACATTTTAGCTACATGGTAGTGTATATATTAATATTTTTTATCCACCCTATATCATGTATATCATAAGACTTGTAAATAGGGAATCACAGGACAGTTATGTGTAGACCTGCTTTGATATGCCATACCTGATATTTGCTGATTACATATTAAGTTTTTGATAAATGTAGCCTTGTGGCAGGTAAGAGAACTCTTTAATGTAGACGTTAGCTGTTATGATTTAAAATTTGAAAGTACAGTGTTAATTTATTGTTAAAGTATGTGATTGGTGGTAAATAGGTCATTTAGATCAGATAATCCAAGTTCTAATAACGATAATGTGCCTTATTGTGATCATTTGTAAACCTCAAGTTGTGGATGTGACCCAGCCTGTAGGTTTAATTATTTAAATGAAATTCTTCATAATAAAGGTTTGGTCCGAGCAAAACCTTTATGCGGGCAAAATCTTACCTTATGAAAGGAGAATCAAATATAAAATGGTTTTCAGTACCAGCTTAATTATTGTGGTGCACTAAGAATATCACGATACTGTTATGTGTATTCCCTGATACTAAGCTGTACAATTATGTTAATTTATGTATGTACAATCTTTTTTTTACCATAAATATGTAATAATTGCAATATGTTTAACAGTACACAATAACTGTATGATTTATACCATTCTCACTGTCAGTAAAGCAATATGTATATACAGTAATTATTTTCAAAGCATTATGGTCACTAACATCAGTCACCCATAACTGTAAAATATTAGCTAAAGAATACTGCATATTGGTTTGCAGTTACTTTGGCAGTTACCTAACTAATACAGTAGAGAAATGACTTGCAATAGGTGCTGAGATTTGAAAATGATTAGTAAGTATATGGAAGTAAAAGTAGGCAATCACGGAAAGGTATTTAAAATTAAGCACAGAAGTGGAAAGTGGCAGTCTTTGAATGTATGTGAAGAGTTTGTGATGTTGTCTGTTATTATTTGTTGCTAGAGTTATTGTAGCTAACACATCAGGGATAGTTAAGAAAATCTCTTCTCGGTGCTCTCATAATTACCAAGAACAAGCATTCAAATTTAGAAATCACATATAGTAATAAGTACATTTATTCCTATGGATATGAAGGGTTTGTGGGGAAGATTTATGTTATGTTGAGCAGTCAGCTGCCAGTCTCATACTGAATGAAGACTTAATTTAATTTTAATCAAGGCAAAACTAAACTGCTCATTAGTAATTGTAACATTTGTGATAATAACAGGCAATATTCTTTGTGGCATAAATGTTGAGTAAAGGGGATTAATCCACATTATTATAATCAAAAAGAAGCGCTAAACCACAAGGGCTGGATTAATCCACAATGTAGTGCATTGTATAACCTGTAACAAAAAGTATTTATATTTAAAAAGATATTTTATATCAGCATTTTAATTCTAGATAGGATTTATGCACTTTATTTACTGTATGTCTTACTAGTTAGTAGAAGATTTTGGTTATTGATAATCACATATCAATACTGTATATTCTATGCAATTTATTTTGTAGCATTTACAGTGATTGTAAACTTGAAAATGAAAACTATGCTACAGATTGGTCTATCATGCATCATTATGAAATCACAAGTGAAAATAAAGAAGGGAAGAAAGCCCGAGTCATGTCAGGCACCTGGGGTTTGGAGACAACCAAGGTCAGGTCAGATTACATTCTGAAGATTAAAACAATTTCAGTTTTTTTGCAGTTCTGTCTGTCTTGGTTATTTGCCTAATTTTATAAACTCTGTATACTGTTACAATAAAACAACTTTCATCTCTCCTAACCCTGTGATGACAGTTCCCTTATGTATGTGATGGGGGTTTATGATCTTTGTTGTTGTTGTGGCCCAGTGACCTGCATTGATTCTGGATTTCATTCCTTTTTTTTTTTTTCTTCTTCTTTCCATACACTTTCAGAACGGTTCAAGAGGGACTGAAACATCTTTTGGTTTTTATTTCTAATTTACAGGCACATTGAAAATTACTCCAAACCCCGTCTAGTACAGTACAGTAGGACCCCAACTTAGGATGTTAATGCATTCCAGAAATTTCATTGCAAGTCGATTGTTTGGTAATCAAACCCTATTTTTCCTTAAATTATATAAAATGAATTACTGCATTCCTGAGCCACAATATTCCATACCTAATTTCAGTTAATTTTTTCCAAAGAATTTTTATCCAATATTTTTACATTCAGTACTATTAGAGAGTGGGTGGTTGTGAAAGTTGATGGTGTGGATGCAGTGGATATGAGGGTTGGTGTGGGTGAGAATGGGTGTGTAGTGTGAGGTGTGTGTTTTCATTGTATAATGATGTACCTTGGTTCAGCTGGATACTGAACACTTTCATGACACAGTTAGCAGTGCAGAGTCAGAGATCCTTCCTCCCTCCAGGCTTACAGCCAACCCACCCACCCACCTCCCTGACCTCCACCAGTCTTCTCCCCCAAGTCAACCACCGACATACTGACAATGTGAATCTTGAATCTTTGATTTTTAACCAATCTTCAACAAACAAACAAGCACTCTATATGCATAAAATAAACACAGTTTCCAAAATGACATTGGAAGAGCAACTCGCTGTTCACAGGTAATTAACTGGTTCCAAAATGCCAATGTCGTAAGTACAAAACTTTAAGTTGGGGCCCTAATGTATTGTAATTCTTGTCTCTTTATAAAATTTAACAGACAATTGTAAATTGCATCAGTTATAAACATTAATATATTTTATAAACCATAATAATTCAGGCTTCTGAAAACGAATTATGAAAAATGGTTGAGAGTCGTATACTTGAAGTTGTTTGTTGTTAATGCACTTAAATTCAGCATCAGTTGGTTCTGTATATCAATTACATTTTGTTTCACAGAAGCCGAGACCTGTTACCTCACTGAGTAACACAAAAATATGAGACCGTGATAAATCTAGTCTGTAAGCAGTAATAATTAAGGTCAACCAAGATTTGCTCAAGCCTCAAATACTGAATTCTGTTGTACATATTAGGAGGCTTTGCATCAGTAAGTCTAGTCTAGCTAAGATTAGCTAGATATGTAATACATTTTGCACTTTTCATACACGACAAATACAGTATGTTTATGGTATTTTAATAAACAAATATTCACCATAAAAAAGTATGATTCATCCATCCATTATTTTAACTGTTAATTTATATGTAGTTTTCTTTTTAAGAGTTGAAATGTACCCTCTGGCTGTTATAGATGACCTGTATACTTTAAGTCAAGAATAGCAGATGATCCTAAAAGTTCTTCCCATGTGACTTTTTTTTTTTTGTCCCAACAAACCACCCATCTCCCACCAAGGCAGGGTGACCCAAAAAGAAGAAACTCTTTCACCATCACTGTCTTGCCAGAGATGCATCAATACTACAAATACCCCACCCTTCCTTAAGAGTGCAGGCACTGTACTTCCCATCTCCAGGACTCAAGTCTGGCTAACTGATTTCCCAGAATCCCTTCATGAGAGTTACTTTGCTCACACTCCAACAGCATGTCAAGTCATAAAAAGCATCTGCCCTTATCTAACAATTATAATAATAAAAAAAATAAAAGTGCTAAGCCTACAAGGGTCTCTTATCTAACAAGCTCATGCATGCTTGTTGGAGGTTTAAGTCCCTCATTCACAAAACAACCTTAACCCCCTCCCTCCAACCTTTTCTAGGATCACCCCTACCCCCCATTACAGATTTATATGCCCTCTAATTATTATTATTAAAAATCAAACTAGGCACTAAACCCACGAGTCATACAGTGCAGCATACGCCCTCCAAGTCATTCTATTTTGTTCCACCCTAATTGTCTGAAGCACCTCAACAACCCCTCTTCATCCCTCTGGATAATACTTTTAGTAGTCCTGCACTTCCTAATCTCCAAGCTATGGATTCTTTGCGGCCTCCAGCCGCCTCCTTGTTGTTGCAACATTCGCAACCCATTTTTCACATTCATATAACAGAATTGGTATAACTATACTCTCATACATTCCCCTCTTTGATTCCATAGATAACATCCTTTGTCTCCACAGATTCCTCAGTGCACCACTTGCCTTTTTCCCCCTCATCAATTATATGGTTCACCTTACCTTTCATAGACCCATCTGTTGACAATTCTACTCCAAAATATGTGAACACATTCACTTCCTTCACGCTCCCTCCAATTTGATATCCAATCTTTCATTACCTAAATTTTTTATCCTCATCACCTTGCTCTCTCCAATATTCACTTATAATTTCCTTCTTTTATATACCTTCCCAAATTTGTCTGCCAACCTCTGCAACTTCTCTTCAGAATCTCTCAAAGCACAGTGTCATAAGTAAAAAGCAACTGTTAAAACCCCCATTTTGTTAGACTTATTTATTTTCTAAAACCACACCTCTTCCCAACACCTCTTCATTCAATTCTCTTATAACGCCATCTAGAAATATACTAAACAACCATCATGACATAATGCAAACCTAAGGCCTACTTTTACTGGAAAAATATTCTCCCCTAACCCCCAAACCCAAAAGCCTCGCTATCCTCATAAAAACTCGACTTTTTTATAACTTACCACCGATTCCACACACTTGCAACATCAGTACATTCCCCCCCTCTATCCACCAATCAATGCCTTTTCCAATCCATAAATGAAATGAAAACCTTTCCCCCTAATCTAAATGCTTTTCATTATATGCTTTACTGAAAACATGATTATACACCCCCTCCCTTTCCCTTGTTCTTTGCGACCCAGCTCTCCCTCTTCCCTTAATTCTTTCCATAAAAAACTCACCATACACCTTACCAGTATCTTTCATCACATTAAAACACTTTCACCTCACCCCAAACAAAATCACTGTTTTTGCAGGGGTGCTCAGAACAAAAAAAACAGTTTAGAAGCATAACCTTACAACATATCCTTCCAAACTGCCAATTCCCGAACCCCCCCTTTTGAGTGCAACATTGCACTTCCCATTTCCAGGATCAAGGGGGGATATAAAAATAAGGTTTCCCCTGAACCCCTTCACAAATTACCCTGCTCACACCCCAAAGATCGTCAGCCCCAAAAATACCTTTCGTCCCATTGCTCCTTCTAACATGCTACGAAAGCTTGCGGGAAAAGTCCAAGCCCCTCCCCCATAAAACCCCCTTTACCCCCCCTCCCCCCAAACCTTTTCGAGGACGCCCCTACCCCGCCTTCCTTCCCCCTACGATTTTTTCGCTCTCTATGTCTTTTCTACTTTGATCCATTCTCTCTAAATGCCCAAACACCTCAAAAAACCTTCTTCACCCCTCGACTGAACTTTTATTAACCCACCTTCTCCAAATTTCCACACTCCGAATTTTCGCATAATATTTACCCCACACATTGCCCTTAGACAGGACATCTCCACTGCCTCCAACGCCCCCTCGCTGCTGCATTCACAACCAAGCTTCACACCCATGTAAAAGGTTTTGGGTACACGTACTTTTACATTCCCTTTTTTCCCTCCATTTTATTTTTTAATCAAAAAGAAGGCAAGCAAAAGGGGCTATACAGCCTGCAGGGTGGGGAAGGAAGCGAGGGTATTGGGGGCAAAAGGGGGGAAGGGAGATCAGAGGTTACAAAAACAGCGGGCAGGGGTATGCGGGGGAGGGGTTTTAGCAAGAGATTGAGGTAGAAAGGGCTGAAGGATCAGAGTTTGTGAAGTAAGTCGTTTTGTCAAAAGAAAAAGGAGAGTCCATAAAGGGGGGTCCACAGCGAAAAGGGGAAGGTAAAGAGAGTCAGGGAGCGACAACGGCGATGGAGGTAAATTCTGCGTGCTCGTTATAAATGGGCATCCAACAAAATGGGCTGATGTAAGGACCTGAAAATTTCCCCAGAGAGTACAGGGCGCCCTCCCCGGATACCATGATAAGACGAGTATGGCCAATGCAAAGAAAGAGAGTAGTCCCCCAAACCCTCGCACTGTGACAAAAGAGGCCTTTCCTCCATAATAACTTTTTTGTTTTCCACAATACCGCAACCACACTCACTTTTCCCTCACATTCTATGATTCCCTCTCCTTTCAAAAATCCCCGCCGAACGTCAACTCCCAAGTATCTGAAAACATTCACTTTTTCCATACTACCCCCCCCAATTTGATATCCAATTTTTCATATCTAAATTTTTGATACTTACCCTTTTCCCTTTTTCTTTGTTCACTTTCAATTTTCTCCCTTTACACCACCCCCCAAACTCTCCACTAACCTTTGAATTTTTCTTTAGAATCTCCCAACCAGTATCATCAGCAAAAAGCAACGTGTCATTCCCATTTTGTTTTGATTCCCCAAAATTTAATCCCCCCCCCCCCCGAACACCTTAGCATTTACTTCTTTTAAAACCCCCAATATAAATATATTAAAAACCTGGTGACATTACACAACCCGTCTAAGACCTACTTTTATGAGTAGTATCTCCCCCCCTCTTTTACACACCCTAACCTGAGCCCCCACTTCCTCATAAAAAACCCTTTTCAGCATTTAGTAACTTCCCCCTATTTCCCTAACAGGGACCCCCCGCATACCGTACGCATTTCATACCTACAATCCGCATACCACGCTTTTTATCGCTAAAATTTTGCCCCGCATACCCCCAAAAACCTGCCACCGCCCTTCGCCCGGGCGGTCCCAAAGTGGGCCTGAGCCAGCCCCAATTTTCCGCCGGGGCATTGTTTACCAGCCCGCCCCGGGTAACTCCCAAACATACAATCGGAATATTTTCGTTTTAGTATTACAGTGTTTTCGGGCTTTATCGGAAAAAAAAGTGACCCGGGCCCCAAGAAAAACTTTCTAGTTCCCAACCCTACAGCAATAAGGGGGAGAATTTTCCCAAATTGAGATGAAAAAGAGTCATTGATAAGAGAAAGGGGGGTGTGCCGACCTGGCAGGGTTTACAAAAAACCCAAATCAACCATCTCTACTATTTGGCAACAGAAAGGCAATCAAGGAACTGTTCGCCAAAAGGTTTAACTGGGGTTTTCAAAAAGAGATCGCAAATGATGGGAAAATGTTTTAAAACTTTATTGGTGTGGATAAAGAAAAAAAGCTCAGGGGGGGTAGCGTCTTCAACATCATAAGCGAAAAGGCAGGAAGTTGCTGGGTTTAATTAAAAAAAGCCTGCAACTATGAAGATGTAGTGAATTTTAAGGCCAGCAAAAGGTTGGTTTTAGGATTTAAGAAGGTATGGATACATGGTTTAAAGGCATGTAGGCTGCCAGTTCGGGCCCCAAAGCAGCTGAAAAATTTGCAGGAAATTTAAGGGGTAATAAAAGTGAAGACTGAAACCTGAACAATTTTAAATTTTGGGTAAACAGGCCCCGTTTTGGAAGAAAATGCCAAGCAGGGCCTACATTACTCAGGAGGAAAAAACTTTCCCCGGGCATAAGCCTATGAAAGACAGGGTTTTCTTTTTTTGATGTGTTCCAATGTACGGTATTGCAAAGTGAAGCCTTTATTAGGTATCACCTGAAACCCCAGACCCCTTCAGGGGAAAAAAGTGTCCCAAGGAGAATTTGTGTGTGCTGTGGGGGCAAACATAAGGCAGGGGCAAAAGGGCTTTTTCATGACGGGTTAACAATGCATTTTCCCCCAATGTGAAAAATTAACCTAACTGAAAAGAAAAAAGAACTTAAGGCCCCCTGGTTTAGACAATGCCCCTGGTCATCCTACAGGGCGTGGGAGAGCACTTTTTGGGGGCATGAAATTTATTTTGGTGAAGTTTTTTGCCCCCTAATACCCCTCCCCCTCCCCCAGGGCCCGCAGGTTATTTCAACTTTAAAAAAAAGTACACAAAAGCTCTGTTTGAAAGGTGCTTTGTAGTGACCTCGAAACTCAACTGACTCTAAGAACTTTTTGGGGAGCCCCTTTAATATCCTAATTGGGGAAACCTTATAGGTAAGGCTTGGGAGGGAGTGACTAAGAAGACCTTGAACTCTGTTGGGAAAAAACTGTGGGCCCAAAAGTGTGACAAAAAAGGGGTTTTGAAGGGTTTAGGCAACCCTGAGAGGAAAAGCCAGTTTAGGAAACCGTTGTGGCATTGGAAAGTCCTTAGGGGTTGGGGGTTTGGGGAATGATGTGGAAGAGTTTGGGGGGGGACAAAGAAAACTAACCACTGATTAGCT